ACATCAACATGAATGCATTTGAATGATAAAAATTTCCAAAAATGTGGAAATGTTTTTTTAAAGTAAGCTATCAAAAAAGTCACATTTTGGATTTGTCAAGTAAAGTCAGTCTCACCAACTTGCTAGAAGAGGCCAGACAGCGACTTCTTTCTACCCAGGCTCTTTTTTTTTCACCACGGTAAAGTGCCTACTGGGCCCATTTTTTTTTTAGGTTTCTGCTGCTCTCTCTAATCCAGTGTCACAATACTGTCCACAGCCCAGCATATGGCTCTTTCTCTCCAGTGATTTGAGATGGATGACATCACTTTGTTTTCTTGGCTGGCTGTCAGCACACCGCATGCACTAGAAGTCACCTTTTCACACTCCTTTTTCTCTTTTCCGTGCACCACAAGTCTGTATGTTTTATTGCAAGGCCAGACCATCTGTGCTGCCCCAAACATAAAAGAATGTAACCATTCTTATGTTTTGTCAATTGAGTTGATTCCTCCCCTCTTCAAGCTGTTATTTTCAACCTTTGTTCATGTCCCATGGTGAATAATGTGTAAGAACGTTCCTGCTGTGTTTCTCCTCATCCAGTATGTCCTCGGCATCTGTAATTATGCTGACTTGTTCCAAAAACGTTCACATGACTGACAGTTTGTGGGCGATGGGATGTTCTGTTGACCACAGAAGGTACAGTTTGTACTGTGGGTTGACTTTCAGTACATCTTTTAGCATCTTGTAAGGTCTTGTTGACCCCCCCCAAGTTATTGATTAAATACCGTATAACTGTGCTATATATAACCTACTGACTGGTTGACCGAAAAGGTTGGCTGGCTCACCTGCTGGGCAAATGGCTTGATGGCTTGATGACTGATGGTCTGCTGCTGATGAGTGGATTAACAGAAGGACTGGCTGGCTAGAAGTCTGGTTTGTTGGCTTCCTGAGTCACTGGTTGGCTAACTGCCTGGTTAAATGACTGGCTGCCTGGCTGAAGCAGTAACCAACTGGCTGGCTGACTGACTTTGACTCAAGGGATTGGCTGACTGGCTTTCTGACCGACTGACCCCATCATCTTTAGAGACAGACAAAACTCCTGTTGAACTCTTTAAACGGCCTCAGATGATTAAAGCAAAAATAAATAACAGGCAAACATCTTTTTTGTGGTGTACAAAAAGTCTTTTCCTCTCCTGAAAAACCTGCTGCTTACTTTAACATCCTATTAGAAAACAAGCTTGGTTTAACTTTAGCCACAATAATAACAGCTTAAAGTACAAAAAATAGTTAGTGGTAAAATCCAACAAGAACATATGAAGAGTTTTGTTCCAAAGTGACACCCCCACCATTTGCAAATACTCTCCAGATGACTGACAGCATAAAAATTGCTGCTGTTTAAATAATCGTAGATAAGTTTAGTTGTCAGTTGACCAAACATCAGGTTTACTGGGTGTTCTGTGTTTTAGAGATAGTGAAACTGAGCTGCAGGTTATTTGTTTTTTATAGACATGCAGAAGTTGACAGTGATTTCTTTCATCTTTAAATGCTAAAGTTTGGCTGAATCGCCCTTTAAGCTCTGGACCAGTCTCAGAAATGTCAACGGAGCCGCTGGCTGCCTGTCATCTTCTGCTCCTGCAGCTGCAGTGCTCGATAAGATGTGTGTTTTAATTTCTGCTAGCACCAACATTTAACATCAATCTTTTCCAGCTCCTACAGAATGAGGTTGCTACCTGTGGTGATAAATATAAAGGCTGGATAATGTCTTGGCAGTTGTCAAGCAGCACCAACTCACCAGTATGAAGAAATATTTATTACAGTTGCATTAACAGCAGTAGCTAATGTGCCTCTTAGACTGCTCTTATATAACTTAACGTTCTACAGTTTGATACCATCCACTTTGAATTCTCTTGTAACAATGTTATATAACTGTTTTTGTCCCGTTACATGATACAGTATTTCCTTATCAGGAAAAACCAGCTAAAACAGTGGGTTGAGCTCTGCTTGTGATTTTTCTAAAGATTGGCTTAGTAAACAGCAGTTTTTGGAATTTCTTTTGTTTCGCTGCTTTCTGTTTTCTCTTATAGTACATGTGTCTGCTGCTGGTGCTGTTTGTTGATTGACGACTAAAGAAAGGGCGTATGACACTTGTGGGTGTGAATGAATGCTCAACAGCTATGGTGGTTGACAGTTGTGTGTAACACCTCAACAAAGATGGATCACTTGTCTTTAACTCCAGAGGGTTACAGACCAGGTCTCCTTTCAAACCAGTGTTTTCAAATTCAGACAAATTTATAAGTTTAATTATCAGTTGGCATTTTACTTGACCACCATTTTAGCTGTTAGACCCCCAAAGCCTATTGCACTTACTAATGTGTAATGAAATTGCTGGTTATAGATTATATGAAGATTTTTATAGCCATGCTTGCGGCATGTCTGGCTGTCTGTCTGTCTATTGGGCAGTTGGTCCACCACTGTGGTCCAGACACAAATATCTCAACCCACCATATGAGGCTGACTTTTGTGGTTTTTAATAAAATGTAAAATGTTTCTTGAATGAATTGCCCTGAATTTTTAGTTCAGACATTCACGTCTCCCTCAGGACAAATTGTAATGAGTCATCTGACTTTTCTTCTAGCCCCAGGTTAACATTTTAATTTGTCCAATGCTTTGGTTTATGACCAAATACCTGCAAAGCTATGCACTTTATTGCTAAATAGCAAATATTAACATATTAGCACACTAAACTAAGACTGTAATAAGGGTAAATGACAGGCTTAGCACCAGCATGTTAGGCTTGTCTCTGTGAGCATGTTAGCATTTAGTTCAGAGCTCTGATCTCAGTGTATGGTCTCACTAGCTGCTAGAATGACTTTTAGTCTTAAAGGTCCAGTGTGTAACATTTGGGAGGATCTATTGGCAGAAACTGAATATTCTATTCATAGGTAGTTATCATTAGTCTTTTTGTTACCTTAAATTAAGCTGTTTTTATCTACTAAGGGAGCAGGTCTGGTGGAGTCCGCCATATTGAACTGCTATGTTTCTACAGTAGGGCTTTTCACATTTTTTTGGTGACTTTTGCAGCCACCCTAGTTTCTCCTACACTCCTACTTAATCCTCCACACTGGTTCTTTACCTAACCAGAAAGCAAAATCTAATCACATTTTGTAATAGAACCTGCTAGCACTAGTGTAACAAGTTGTGAATGAGCAGCTGCCACTATCTGTACTACAAAATGCCAAAAGGCCACGAGTTTCAATATGAAAAGCCAAACAGTTTATCTCTCAGTTCCTCAGAGCATTTGGTTTGTGGATATACAAGGCAGCAGCAGTGCTCAGTTTGCTCAGGAGTCCTGGCTACAGCCGCCTGTCACGTTCCTGCTTATCGACCGGTCGTAATAACAGTGAAAATGTCATGTCATGTCAGCCCCGGTCGGCCTGCGGGATCAGACGCACGGGCTCGGCTAAACCAAAGCACTCACAAATAAATGTCACACAGCCTCAGTGGTGCCTCAGTGATTGAGAAATAATCGCTTGATCTTGTTATGTGTCTGTATGCGTGTCTGAGTCTGTACTGTAATATCCTGAGTGTGCGAGAGGGAGAGATGGTAGTTTGTTGGGCTCTGTTATCATTTCAGGTTCAGGCTGTGTATCTGCATGTTTGTTTGGTGTGATATCCGTTTATTAGAATGGTTTGGACGTTGTTTGTTTCCTTGCTCAGCTCTTCAGCATGTTTTTAATAGATGGACTGAAAACGGCGTAGGAGAAAAGTTCCAGAGCTGTAGCTTTGTTTGCTAGGACTTTGAGTTTAAATTATTACTTTTCTCTGTTAATGTAACAACCTGTTTTATGTTTTTCCTTTGCCATCTTTATGACTTAGTGTGGCCCACTGGGAGGAAGGCCAAAGATTTAAACATTATACAGAGGAAGTGTGAAAATCATTGGCTGGTTCCTCAAAGACACAGTGGAAGAGATGGAAATATTAGGATGTGTTCTCTAATAGGGTTACCATTTCAGATGCTAGCAGGGGAAATTCCACTCTCCTTCTATTGAGCTGCTTGACATCCAGCTGTCAAGACACTGGCCGTGCTGTAAAAGCATACAGTACAACTCTAACATCTTCAACAGTTCAAAATTTGAACATAGGAATACAAATTTACATTTTTTATTTTAAAAAAAAAGAGAGAAAAGTAGAAAATCCATTTGTCAAGTTGGAACCGTAAGATGTTTGTTGTTTTTACCACTCAGCTGAGAGCTGGTGGAAGAACATAAAACGTTACAATGTTTTTAAATGGTTATGAAACAGTCTCAGTTTAATACAGATGCCTCTATATGGCTTACATATATAAATAAGACCATCCTCTGCCTGCCACTAGGCCAGTTTGGGTCGGATTCCCCTTAAAATCAATGAAAGGAAGAGGTGGAACACTTACGCTTTTGTCCACAGGGGACATGTGTTTTTATTAGCTTCATTAGATGCAGATAATTCAATGTTTTATTGGAGTTTGAGTCTGAGTTCTTCGATGTCTGAACGGAAACTGTTTGCAATTTATAAGCAGGACAGAAACCCCCTTTTCACCTACAGGCCAAAGGGACCTGATATTTCCAAAACTCTGTGTGTAGGAATGTTTTGACTTGAATTAAAGCTCACTAGAGTAAGCAAAGTGTGTAAAACCAATAAAAATGATAAATGCATGTTGATTTTAAAAGACTCGTAGGAGAACTGAGAGCAACACTTCACTGGCAGACATGTGACAAGTAAGCATAAAAGCGGAACAGCTGAAGAAAAAATATAGTTCTATAATCTTTCTGGGTGAACTGATCATGAAAACTCAATTGAAACTGCTGTTAACCTGTCAGTGTGTTGGTGCTAATTTTCCCTCCACTGTTAACAACCTGACCAGAAAATAGACTTGTATTGTTTGTTTTGATCTAGTCCATCAGTTCATAATTGCTTCCTCACCATCTGACAGACAATAATAATGTATTAACTTCATACTGATGGCTCTCCCTCTCCCTCTCTCATAGGATGAAGAGGAGGAAATTAAGCTGGAAATTAACATGCTGAAGAAGTACTCCCACCACAGAAACATAGCAACCTACTATGGAGCCTTCATCAAGAAAAGTCCTCCAGGCCACGACGACCAGCTATGGGTGAGTTTATTCCTACCATTAATAATGATGTCCTGTCTTGACAGTAAGTTAAATTAGCCAAAAACGTATTATAGCTGTCACAAGGTCCTGAGCAATCACAACTTCTGGATAGCTCAAAGTTCCCCCCACATGTATCAAGACATATATACAAACAGTCTGCTTGGAACAATAATGTGTGTGCCAAAAAAGTACTACTACTTACTACCTACTTCACTGTAAAGTCCATTCCCAGTGTATTTGTATATGGTAGCTTCAAGTTTCTACATCATACTTGTAGAAGTTGCATACTGGACCAGGACTGACTTGTGATGTCACAAATTATTCTTGTAAAATCAGACTTTCGATGAGGTCGGAGAAACTGATTTTTGAGTGGAGCAGGACTTATTCTTATTTTTTTATTATATTCTAAAATTCACAAGCTGCAGAAAACAAAGAAAAATCAAGTCAAATAAGAGAATTTATAGAAAAATGGCAGCAACCAACAAGTCCAGCTCCTGGACAAAACATCTTCTTTCTGGTTTGTGCTGGGAAATTAACGTAACAAAGTTTGATAGGATAAATATACTGAAAATGGACTTTACAGTGAAGTAGGTAGTAAGTAGTAGTTTTTTTGGCACACACATTATTGGTCCAAGCAGACAATTTTTATATATGTCTTAATACATGTTAGGAGGGGATCTTTGAGCTATCCAGAAGATTGTTCAGGACAACTATAATATGTTTACGATTTTAAATATTATTGGTATAGCAACAAACTACTATAGGATGTCCTGTAGAGAGAATGAAGTTGCACTCCCTCTGTTCTTAGTTTTGGTAGCCTTATGAGTCCTAGCGGTGCCCCAAAGCATTCAGTCAAAACCATCAAACTTTAGCTAGCTAAGGCATATTTTACTTGATGTTTTAGGTAGCAAGTGTTAGCAAGATAACTTGAAAGCTAACAATTACCTTACATGGATTTACTAATGTTACTAAAATAACAGTTTGTTCAATTTAATTTAATTTACATGACTATTGGTTTATGTAAGAATAGATGTTTGGATATTTAGATTGTCACATTGATCAGATTTATTGTGTGATTTCTAAAAAACAGGAATGAATTAATTAGGTGTTTCCCGATATACAACACCTAGAAGTTATTTGTAGTTAGTCACTGGACTTGGGCTGCAGAGATTACAGGTCGGCACTCAACAGTCTCTCCAAGTCCAGATTGGTGTGGCTATATTGGGTCTGTATACAGAGATACTGTTTGCACATCTGTTCACACACTTTATTGCTTGCAAACAATAACACAACATAAACGTATTTTTCCCCAACATTAAAGCCCCTGCTGGCCTAAAAGGCAGGAGAGCAGAGAGCAATACGAAAACACAACAAATCAAAGAAAAGAGAAACGGTGCAGAGGAAATGAATAAAACAAATTAAGCAAAATGAGAAACAAAAGGGAGTTAATCAGAGAGGGAAAAAAAACAGGAGGAGGAGAAGAGCAGCGGGAGAGATTTATAGCTGCTCGGTTTGTTGAAGGCAGGATTACCTCGTTTTATGAGCCTGCGGCGCTGCTGTTCCTAGAGAGGGAAGATCTCACTCTCACCTCACAGCACAGCCCTGTATTTGTTTTTACAGCTGTCTCCGCGACCCCTTACAGCCCCCACTGCTACGGCTTCACGCTGTCCGCTGTGTTTGTGTGTGTGAGAGAGTATATGTGTCATATTCTGCATTGAACATCACTGAAGACTGTCTGCTGAAGGAGACCAGATTGTGTGTTTGTAAGGCATGTATGCGTGGGTCAACATGTAAGACACAATCCACAACCAATTTGGGATTAGTCAGCAAATTACAGCAGATTGTTCTACTTCTATCAAGACCACTTGTCCGCAATCGAAATCTAAATATGATTTATTTATATTCTTTTACTCCCTATAAATATAAACTTTGTGTTGGCCCAATTTTGTCCACCTCAGAATACACTTTACCGCCCTACGTTAGATAGGCCTGATTCAGTATTTTTGTTTATTGACTTTAAGGGGAATATTTGTCATGCTCATATGATTATATGTGTTATTCTTATACAAAATCAACTATTCAAAACAAATTGTAGATAAAAGCAAATAATACAGAAGGGTTTTCTCGTGTGATGCATACACAGTTCACTGGATTTAAAGTCCCCTTGCAGTCAAATGTGTTTTGTTTGTTTTAACTTCACTTGGATGTTCGAGCTCCACTGTGCAGAATTAGTTTGACACCAGAAGGATGTTTTCACATTTATCTGCTGAAGGGGGAAGATTCTCTGTGCTCGTGTTAAATCTGAATTCAAGACATGCATGTATGAGCATGATTTCTTTTGCATGTATGAGTGTGATGTAGAAACCTGAAGCCTCCAGCACACATACACTAAGAATGGAATTTTCAGTGAAGTAGAAGTTTTGAAATTAAGAATATTTGCATATTCATAGGTTCTGATTTTTTTAAAGATGGAGGAGTAGATGTAGAGTTTTTAACACAGTAATTGAGCACATTAAAAATGCAAAGCTAATTATTTATATATGTACTGCAACTATTATTCAGACATGTATACAAACAGTCTGCTTTGAACAATGTGTGTCTGATATGCAAAAAAAGGATAATTTCCTCATTAAAATCCATAAAAAGTTATCTACTCCTACCCTTCTTCTGTGAATATTAATATTAATAATATCCAATTTAGTTAATTTCTAAAGTTTCCCTGCTGGACACGAGATGTCTCCTCCTTCACTGTAAAGTCCATTCTCAGTGGATGTGCACCGGTGGTTTCTACATCACACTGTACGAGTTGCATACTGGACCAGGACTGACTTCCACTCTAGTTGATATGTCATAAATCATGCTCGTAGGCCCCTTAAAATCATATGTTTAGTGAGCTCAGAGAAACTTTCCACTTTCAGCACATGAATGTGAAAACTATGAAAACATCCTTCTAGTGTCAAACTCTGCACAGACATCATTCTAACATTCTAATGAATGTTATTGAAAAATATTGATGAGGACGTTGCATCAAGGTGAAGAGTTATACTGTATAAAATGATTACTATATAAAACAATTTTAATGCTCATGTTTCTTCGTATTAAGACCACATTTCCCATCAGCCCATTGCTTCCAGTCTCCCATCCTAAGACTCCAATTTTCATGTCTCAGTGATTTAAGGGTAGTTGTATGTGAATTAATGTGATAATGTTTTGTTAATGGTAAAACGCTGCGTGTAGCACCTTTTGTAGGCCTCAGTACCTGGCAGAATAACGGTTGCTGTAAATGTGCACAGTCTTCTCACTATCACCTGTTCTCTCCTCCAGCTGGTGATGGAGTTCTGCGGTGCCGGTTCCATCACAGATCTGGTGAAGAACACCAAAGGCAACACACTGAAGGAGGACTGGATCGCCTATATCTCCCGAGAGATCCTCAGGGTCAGTCCCCCTTTCACAGCATTTTCATGACAATTCCTATTCAGTGTCAAATAGACTATATTAGGAAACTCAAACAAGTATTTTCAGCAAAGGCTGTTGCGAGCATACTGCATGTAATATATTAATATGTCGTTTTTTTCTTGTCTTTCTATAGGGATTAGCTCACCTACACGCTCATCATGTCATCCACCGTGACATCAAGGGACAAAACGTTCTGCTGACTGAAAACGCTGAAGTCAAACTGGGTATGTGTTGATTTTTTTAAAATTTAATTGTAGGTCCAGACTGGGCCTGTGCTGAGGTTTTGACTTCTGCACTGACAAAATACTGCAGCACCAGATTTGATTCAGCACCCTGCTAGTGGCAACTAGAGCTTTTTCATCACAGGTCTTGTTTTGTAATGTTTCACATGATTGCACAGTTGTAGGCTTGTACCCGGTAATACAAATCCTTGTGGGACTTTACACATTTATTTTCAGGCACAGTTTTGCATTCACTCAGTTTTAGTAGAAAATAAATGTAGATATCTTTTGATGATCATGTTGCAAATGATCCTGCCCCTGAACCACAGCAGGGCTCTTTCAAAGTAACAATTTAGGCAGTGATACTGAAGAGACAGAGGGCATTAACTGTATCTCACTGTCTGTCTGTTACAACAAAAAACTCAATAAGCCAGCTTTTTAAATTGTAAACCAATGCAATGTGACTGCTAGAGCTGGCTATAAAACTTACAAAATATATCCATAGCACCGAATATCAAAAACAAGCACTGAAGGCTGGCATCAACTGTCTGCCCAGAGTCATAATTGTGTGTACTTATTCAGCGATCAGACTGCCTAATTTTCTGGGCCAATTTTATGCTGTAATTTATTTTGGTATAATTTTGTTATCATACTACCCAAGAGCCCACAAGACCAATCAGACCACAATATCCTCTTCACATCTGATGTGAGCAAGTGGCCGTGGATTCCAGACAGCATATATGAAAATGAAATTAAAGATTTTCCCAGATGAGGGCTGTCTAAGGCAGATTTAGTCTTTAGTCTAAATTTTATATGAATATCCCAACCTGACTTAACTTAACTCTGCTTCTTCTTTTTCCTCTTTTGCTTACTCATACTCTTACTCTTCTTGCTCTTCTTCTTGTGCCTCTTGTTTTATTTCTATACAAAAAACCCAAAAAAAGTTCCAAGACTACTTTTTTAAAACCAGACACTGAAGAGTAGTAGTAGTTTGTACACTGTTTTACAAGAATAAAATTTCAGAATCATTTCCTATATTTCCACTAATATTTTCAAGAATAATGGCAATGTTCAGTTTGTACACCACCATTTAATGAATTCCATTTACTGAGAGTAAAGTCTTGTAGTCTTTGCACAGCTGGTCAGCTGGTTAAACGTTATTTAAGTAAGATTTTGAATATAGAACCATTACTTTTTACAATTTAATTGTTTGGCTTTGTGGTATTACTATATTTACTGAATATGTCCTCTTGCAAAAGAAAATATGTAGACATTGTGCATACTTCCCTTTCTACATATGTTTTAGACAGCCTGTTTCTCTGTAGTTTAATTATAAACTTATTAATATATGGGTAACTATTGATTAATAGTTTTGCAGTTAAAACTATTTTCTGTGCCAGTATATGTGGATTTGCACCAAGTAGATTGTAATTAAAAGGAGAAACAATTAACAACAAAAAACTTTACTACAATGTATAGTATTACATTTACACCTGAGCATTAAATTGTGAATGAAACAATATTCATATGTATGTATGTTCACAGGTAGAACATTTAAACAATCTTACACATTTATATTATGTTTACATTTGAATTCATTTATTTTACCATACATCAAGAAAATCAGTCCTCGGTGTCAACATTTCCAAAGCAACTGCACAGTGGTTGAAAGAGCCAGCGGACGAAGCCCATAGCTCTCTGCTTCTTGGTCATCTTGGCTTCAGTGCGCACTTTAGGTTGAAGCAGGAAGCGCACAGCTGTGAATTGTGCTCCAGTCGCTGGCCCCCGGGGTGGCTGGTCGCTATCAGGCGGTATTTCTATCCCTGCCTGTCTTGGGACGATTCAGTAATATGCGAACGAGGGAAGCTGGCTCTCCAGGGGAGTCAGAAGAGCGAGGGGTGGGATGTAGAGAGGGCGGTACGTTTGCTGGTGCTGGGTACAGGGTGGGGCACATCTTCTTGGTGAGAGTTTGGTGCTCTTTCGGGATAGCAGCGTCAGGTATCGGACACGTTCGGGTACCCTCTCACACCAGGAATAGCCAGGCGCTGAGTAATTAACCACAGGGTAGTTGGGGACAGGAGCTGCGTGGCGTGCGCTACGGCCGGCGTGCATGTCGGGTGTGAGTGTGTATCCACA